GGGGGGGGAGTAACTTTTCAGGGTGTTCCACTTTGGCAGAGAAACACCGTTATTCTGTTCACAGATACCTGAAGGTCTATGTGCACTTTTTTAAGCACAATGGGTTAGAAGACTCGGGCCGAAGGGTCTCACGACACCTTCCATGCATGCCTTTCTAGGCTTAGTGGGAAGACCAATTACTCATCTTTATCTCCCCACTTGGGAGAAGACACCGGAGTACGGCCAAAATTTTGACTTTAAAAAAGAGAAATCAAATAATTCAAAAATATAAAAAAACTCAAAATTAATTGAGAGACAAATTGCAAAAATCAGAATAAAAAAGAGTTCATTGTAAAATAAGAAAAAATTTACAGGAGACTTGATAACTCGTTAATAAACATGATTAATATATACAGAACAACCAACCATCTTCTTCTTAATAATAGGAATAGCTTACTAAAGAAAATACTAATACTCACATGGATCCATCCTGCAGCATAAAGAGACTCCCCGTCCAGTATAGCATGAATCTCTTCTTCATTTAAAGCATTACACTGAGATTCAAGAATAAGCCGTCAATGTTGACAGGAAATAAAAGAAAAGGCAGCTAATATAAAATGATGATAGCATGGTAAATTTAAGTAAAAAATGTTGGATCTAACGTACAGAACTGGAAGTTGATTCTTGCTTAGGCAGTACCAGAGTGGTTACATAATAAGTTTGCATCTCCTGCATTGTGTGTTAGAAAGCTGAAATTTAGCAGATGAAACAGTTATAAGAAAAAATTTAGGATGAGGCATCTAGTTCCATGAATCCCAAAAAAAAAAATGAATGCCAAGCATACGAGGGAGGCACCAAGTATTCCACAAGTCTCCAAATCCTTCTTAGTGTTGTCCTTAGCAAGTTCCATAAACTGTTCCATCAGACCAGCAGACTGAAGAATAAAATCAAATAAAGACATGAACGGATAAGGATCAAATAAATATATCAAATTATGAAAATGCAAATAAACAGAAATAACTCCCATATGCCACAGTTTGGAATTCAATGCAATGAAAAAGGCATAAATGACGCCATGATAAACAAAGTAGAAGTGAGTGACGTTCAGTGCACTCACTATATGCACATCTTTTGTAACCTTGGATGTTGAGGACGTGTCACATGATTCGACATGCAATTTGTTTGGTTCTGGAATAGTTATTTGAGAAACATGACCAATAACAGGAGGAGCCTCCACACACGAAATAGCAGGTGAGGGAGAGTAATGCTGAACTTCATGCACATTGATATCCAAACGCAGATTAAATGGTCCATCTTGAAACGTTGTATGATTGCTCATTATGTCTGTAGCAGTGGAAGAGATCTGCTCAACATGTTTTGTAAGAGCGCTGGAGCTGCTTCTAGTTCTGTCATTTTCAGACAATAGATTAACAACCCAATTTAAATTTTAAAAAATAATAATAATTCCTAATACGTTAGTCAGAAACCACAACTGTACCCTGTTGATTCAAGTACGTCCCGACAAATATCCTGTGAGCAAAATAAAGCACATTTTAGCAACTGTAATAATGAATTGAAACAGAAAAATCTGAAATGCTACCGATAAATATGCCAAGTAGAAGACCAGGATATAAGTCACATTCATTCAAAGCATGAAATGAGATGGGAAGAAAGAAAGACATCAAACACCAAATTTTCATGCTTAGGCTTTCATGCTTAGGCTTCCCCAGATGAAAAAAAAAAAGTTGACTTGTTTTGAAGGGAAGAAAAACTAACAAGAGTTGGTAAGGTTTTGATTCAGATTCACCATGGTAAAATTTCAATGTATTCCAAATGCAACATTAGTAATTCATTTCTTGTGTATTTCAAGTTTAACAGATTTGGGTGAGTCCCAATACACTACAAACTGCAGTTTTTGTCAACAGCTGTCAGTTGCTAGCATCGGCCATCGTCGGTAGCTAAAAACCATCACTTTTTGCTAACATCGATATTGTCATCATTCGTCACCACTACCCATCCTCTCTATGAACCAGTCACCACCCACTGCCAGTTGTTGTCTTCATAATCACCGCCATTGCTACCGTCACCACAATTGTTGTCACCGCCTAGCACCTCCAATAGTCCATAGTTGCGCCCGCAAACACCACCGCTGGCCACCGCTGGCCACCGCTGGCCACCACTGACCACCACCATCAGCATCCGCCGTAGTTAGTCACATGTCGTTACAGCCCATCATCGCCATTGGCTGTAGCCATCGCCTCTGATCACCGGTGTGACTGCCACCATCTAAACTAGCTGTCATCTCAATGCTTTACATTGATTTCATTTTTCTTCAAATAAAATACATAAAACATGTACTCTTGCATTTGTTTTTCACCGAACTAAACAACTCCATAATATTTCAAATACAATGCATTCTTTCTCAACAAACCAAATGATCCCTTCAAAACTCTCCAACAAAGAATCATGAATGTTAATAATTATCTCTTTCTGAAAAAAAAAACCTACCAAAACGATCATAAACATTTAAAATTTTACTTTTTAAAGATAACTCTAATTACATAGGCAAAATTGAATCATAATTAATCATTTAAACCCAAAAGTATTTCCAAATTATAAATCCACTTTTCCTTGAGTAGCATGTGTTGTTGTCAACTGCTGTCAGTTGCTAGCATCGGCCATCATTGGTAGCTAAAAACCATCACTTTTTGCTACCATCGATATTGCCATCATCATCACCACTACCATCCTCTCCATGAACCAGTCACCACTCACTGTCAGTTGTTGTCTTCATAGTCACCGCCACTGCTACTGTTACCACAGTTGCTATCACCACCTAGCACCTCCAATAGTCACCATAGTTGTCGCCCGTGAATACCGCCGCTGGCCACCACTGACCACCACCATCATCATCCGCCGTAGTTAGTCACATGTCGTTACAACCCATCATCGCCATTGGCAGTAGCCATCGCCTCCGATCACCGGTGTTACTGTCACCATCTACATTGGCTGTCACCTCAATGTTTTTACATTGATTTCATTTTTCTTCAAATAAAATACATAAAACTTATACTCTAGCATTTGTTTTGCACCGAACTAAACAACTCCATAATATTCCAAATACATTGCATTCTTTCTCAACAAACCAAATGATCCCTTCAAAACTCTCCAACAAAGAATCATGAATGACCAACACCCCCCGACAACATATTTGGCCATTTTGATTGGCTATGGGTGACAAAAGCAGGGGAGGCTTTTTCTTTCTCTGAAGTTGGGCCTATTAGGCTGGGCCCCACCAGTTATAAATATGTTGCTTGCTGAGTTAGGGTTTAATTTTGTTTTTGTTTTAAGATTTGTGCCTCTAGGTGTCTCCCCCTGCTAGGGTTGTATCCGATGACAAGTGATGCTCTGATTGTATCCTGCTCCGACAAGGTGATTATCTCCTCGATTACCCCACACACCCTTCTCCATATTCTAGCCATCGACCACCCTCTCCCCTTCCTTCTAGTCCAGCCGCTAGCCACCCCATCCCCTCATTTTCTATTCCAGCCACCGGTCACCCCATCACCATCCTCCCAATCCAGCTGCAGACCTCTTATCCTCTTCTTCGCTTCCTGCTTCTAGCCGCCCGCCGCCCTACAGTCTACCTACCTCCCAGATTCCAGCCACAAACCTTCCCCAATCTCTATCCTTGATTTCCTAGTCGTCGGTCAACCCTCCCCTTTCCTATATCCAACCACCAGTCACCTGTTTCTTGCCCTTCCCTATCTCTGTCACCGTTGTCCCTGGTTATTCCTCTTCGAGCCCTAGCAGGATATTGTCGTTGTTGTGTTTTCTATTTCCATTTGATCGTGATTATAGCCTAGTCTGTTTAGAGTAGCAATATTTGTTTTCGTTTTTATGGTTTTGGAATAAATCCAGTATCAATCTCTCGCTCTCTCCCCCCTCACTCACTTTGTAGTGCTTCCTTATTTTGCTTTATAGGCAAGGGAGGTGGGGTCATTTCATCGTTCTAAGCAGGAAGAAGACGTTCCTTTCAAAGCCAAACAATTTCAACCAAAGAAAACAAATTGAGAGATGTACAAAGGAGAGAAGTAATGCAGGAGATGATACCATTGAACGAAGTTGAAGGTAACGACGCCAACGAGCAGAAAGTAAGTGAGAGAGGAAGACAAAGGCTGAGGAGACAAGGGTGGTATCCTGTACAAGAACCATGCCACTGAAGTTTGAGATTGGGAGAGAAGGACGAAGAAAGCTCTCGCGGTGAGAAAATCTAGTCTAGGGCATGAGTGGTAGGATTGTGGATTTAGCTTGAAAATCGTTTATCGCTTGAAAATATGGATTGAGATCAGATTGAAATAAACGAGCTACACTATGAGCCAAAAAGTTGGATTTTTTAGCATATTTGAGCCATAAATGGATTGGCTTGAACTAGCTGGAGATCAGCTCGAAATATTTTTTTATTTATAAAAGTTATATATATAATGCTAAGAAAATCAAATATAACGAGCCACGAGCCAATTTTGAGATGGAACAAATCCAAATAACTCAATTCGAGCGAGCTTGTTTTGATTTTAGGCCGCATTGAGCCGATTTGACGTTGGAACAAGCGAAAATAACTCAGTTTGAGCTAACTTGTTTCGATTTTAAGCAGATTGGGCTCGATTCAGTTTCATGCCGAGCTGATTTTGAGTTGCACTCAATCCAATCCAATCGATTTTGAGCCGACCCCAGCTCAACTTGAAAGCAGATCTTTAAAAGCAATAGCGAGCGATGCGAACAACTCTAGCAGGAGCAACAATGTTGGAGCATTGAGACTTAGCAAAAGGTAGGAGAACTATGTAGTTTCCATCCTTTGTGACTAAGTGTTCTTGAATCCATTATGCTGAGTACGACTAGGGTTGTCAAAAAAGCTCGTTATTCGCGAATAGCTCGTGTTCGGCTCGTTAAGTAGCTCGTGTAGCCTATTTCGTTAAGAAACCGAGCCGAACACGAACAATTCTTTGTTCGCTCGTGTTCGGCTTGTTTTAGCTCCAAAATAAACAAAAAATTATATAATTATTTATATAATAATATATTACATATATTATTTATATAATAATATATTATATATATTTATATCTAAATTTAAATCATAACATCTCATGTGGTAATGTGGTTAATCCCTTATTTTCTATAGATTTGGTCCAGGTTCGAATCTCACACTTTACATCTATTTTTTTCAATTTAATTTTAACGAGCCAATTTCGAGCCGAACACGAACACAAATATTTAAATCGAGTCGAACACGAACACACTGTTCACAAGCCAATTTCGAACACGAGCCAATTTCGAACGCGAGCTATTCCAACGAGCCGAACATGAGCCAAGCCTGAGCTCGCTCAAGCTCGGCTCGTTTTACAACCTTAAGTACGACGATCAAACTATCATGGTTTCCCTAACAGAATATAACATGCATCCATTGGTACAACATTGCACCACATCTGATTCTACAGTTGGTTCTCAATTGGAAAACTCCACGAGGCATTTCCCGCCAATACAGATCACGTTCCCATTCTCCAATCACGTGAGAGAATACAGTTCAGAATGTCTATTGGCATTAGGCTCAACCTGTCCACCATCTATGTAAACATCATGTTCTTACTACTACCTCCATGGATGATAAGGCTGCACACTTTTCCCTTCACAGTGCAATGGGTATGAAAGATATTATGGTAAAGCCACTGCTGCTCTCTTGTAACCTCCATTTAAAAGACCCGTCGAACTACAAGCATTTCACCCTCATCTGTTGTAAGTTGGCACTCCTCACCTAGTTGATGCTGAAGTTAACCCAAACAACAACGAAAAAGCAAGATATTCTTACTTCAAAGCTAATAAGCAGTTACAACCAACACACTAAAACAAGAAATAACAACAGGCCCGACACAAAAACTCAAATGATAGTCAATTCATGAGTGGTGAAGACTAGGTGGCCTGGAATGGGTAGTTGGGGGTGTTGGAGGGTGTTGGTTACAACAGGTAAGGTTTCTGAGAGGTGGTAGGGCTTGTGAGCAGCTAGATCAACAATATAATATCAAAGGGAAGGAGTTGCGGGACTGTGGTAGTGATGTCGCATGGTTGGAAAACGGTATAATAGCAAGGCAAGTAGTTGCGGGGCTGCGACAGCGATGTCAGAAGGCTGGAAAACAGGAGAACATGTTTGCTATTTTTCGGATGGCAACAGCGAGGGACGGCGATTAGAAGTAATGTGGGAAGTTTGTGGAAGGGTGAAAAAGGCTGTGTTGGGTGGCATCAAGGTTGGGAAGGAAGGGAGAGGGAAAAACAACAATAGTTGTTGTCCTGAGGGGTGGCTGGAGCATGGAAGGATGACATTTAGTGGCAAGAAGCAATGGGGGAAGGATAAATAATCACCTCGAGAGCGAGATACAACCAGAGTACCACTCGACCCTTGGATACAACCCTGAAAGGATGAAAACGGACGCCTGCGGCTGTCCTAAATAAACTCACACAAAAAATTGTAATTCAAAACCTAATATAACACATATTTGAAAAGACTAAAAATGAATGAGAGGAAATGAGGTAACTTGCTAAAAATCAGAAAGAAATCGAACGATTGCCAGTTGGTTTGACTATGCGCCTCTCACACGACCCCAGAAGCCGTGTTGGGTCTAACAGCAGGAGACGCCTGTGTCACTTGCTCTTCAGTTGCCTCCTCACCTCCTCCAATGCACCCCGCTCGGTGAACGAAACGGCTCGGCTTGTGGGGCAACTAGAGGCAATACGTCCATATCCATAACATCTTAAGCATTTCCTAGCTGGAACTATGTTGGGCGTGCTACTCTTCTCAGACTTCTCACTCTGAAGGACTGTCATTCTCTAGGCTAGTCTTCTCAACTCCCTCAGGTGTACTCCTGCAATACTCCCAAATGTGGGTAGCTACCTGAATATCGTTGGTTACTTGCTCTGCTTCTACTGTCTCTCCACCTTCAATACCAGGGTATGACATCACCCAACAACCAATAGGGTTGAAGCAAGACCACATTACTAAACCCTCCAAAGTACCCGACTATCGTGTTCTCCTCTAGCTTTGTTAGCTTTCATTTCATCTTAAGCGACTCAAATTCCGCCGTAAACTCTTCCAAGAACAATTCCACCGGATAAAGAACATGTCCTGACAGCAGTGTGGGAGTAGATATTTTCTTCACATCTCCTTCTTAATCTTCTCCCAGGTAGTGATCTCATTTTGACATTCTCCCTGTCTCTCTTTCTCTTTAGATTATTTTTTACAAAGAAGCACTCTTCTTCAGCTTCATGGCAGCAAATTTCATTTTCCTGTCAGTGCGTAACTCCTTATATTTAAAAATTTTATCAACCATCTGCAGTCACTCAATGAAGTCATCCAGATTCATTCTTCCCCAAAATCTGGTATGGCTACCATCACTCTGAGTTCCTTATGTCCTCCAACAGGAAAATCATCTCTCGGCCTCTTATGATATTGAATCCCAAAGCCTCATGGCCTACCTTCCTCTTCACTGGAATCATTCCTACGGAAGAGATTTAGGCGTTCCTCACACTCTCCTTTTCGAGTCTCACTAACACAATTGACAGTGACCTCTCCCTGAGTTTTCCCCTCAATTTCAGCAAGTCTTTGTTGAAGTCGCCAAAGTTTCCATTAAAACTTTTCCATGGTAAGCATTTGATCGGGTTCCGACAGTTATCTCCTCAGGGGCATGGTTAGGGTTTGGGTCTGGGTAGGTGGAAAAGAGCGTATGGGGTGATGTAGGGTGGGAAAGAAAAATTTTAGGTGGTCGATTTGAAAAATTCAATAATAGTGTGGGAGATTTTGGTAACCATAGGAGAAGACTAGGGTCAGACTAACCCCAATATTAAATGATACAAAAGGTAACCAAACAACAATAGAAAAATCAAATATTATTACCGAATTCAAATAGAAGCTTACAATCACCCAAACAAAAATAGAAAATGACAATGACACAACATACAAACTTACATTAGGGTTTGATTCAGAGTTGTCCCAAACAAACATACCATAAATACTAACCTCAAACTCACATAAATAATTTTAAAATAATAAGATAACTATGAGTGTGAACAAGGGACCGACCGACACTCCACAGTAAGAAAAGACCTGGACTGATTAGATTCAAGCATGTAGGCATAAGTCTGCTTCAGCCTCAAAAGTCCTGCGTCCGCCCCACGTCATCTTCATTTAGCAACCACTAGGTTATAAATTTAAAGAGAAAGAAGATAAGATTTTGAACCTGAATAAGGCTTTCTACGGGTTGAACAAGCACCTAGGGCTCAGAACAACATCATCGACAAGTATTTCCTCGAGAAAAACTTCATCAAATGCCCTCTACGTCAAAGTCAAGGATGGAGATGCCTAGATAGTGTGCTTGTATGTGGATCATTTGATCTTCATTGGAAGTAATCCAATAATGTTCAAAGAGTTCAAGAGAATGATGACTAAAGAGTTTGAGATGACAGATATTTGGCGAATGACATATTATCTCATAATTGAAATTAAACAAAAAGTTAAAGACATCTTTATTTTTGAAGAAAGTTATAGAAAGGAAATCCTCAAGAAATCAATATGAACGATTGCAAGCCCATAAACACGCCATTAGAATGTGGAGACAAGTTATCCAATAATGAGAATGGAGAAAAGATTAATTCAACCTTTGTTTAAGGGCTTGATTGTAAGCTTGCACTGCTTGATTTGCACCAAGCCGGATATTCTTTATGTTGTTAGACTCGTTAGCCACCATATGGAGGCTCTACTTGGAGCTGCCAAGAGGATTCTTCACTATATCAAAGGGATGAATGAATTATATTCATCATCAATGATTACAAGCTTGTCGGATATAGTGATGGCGACTGGACTGGAGACTTGGATGAGATAAAAACACCACAGATTTGTGTTTTACACGGGAGACGTTGTTTATAATTGGATGTAAAAAAAACAATCAATTGTCACCATCTCTACTTGTCAAGCTGAGCATGTTGTTACAACTTCTGGTGTTTGTCTTTGTTGAAGTTAAGTTTGCCACAAGAAAAGCTAATGAAAATTTATGTTGACAACATATCAGTTATCGCTTTAGCGAAGAATCATGTTTTTCATGATCAAAATAAACATATCGACACACACTATCACTTCATTAGATGATGCATCACAAGAAAGAAAGTGCACATAGATTATGTGAAGTCTCATGATTAAGTAACTGATATCTTCACCAAGCCGCTCAAGTATGAAGATTTTATCAAGATAAAAAAATTGTTCGGGATGACAAATCAACTTTAAGAGAGGGTATTGAAAAAATCAAACTTGATTTTGGCCAATATGTAATTGGGCTTTAATTGAGCCCATAATCTAGAATGGTCTTTCGAGAATTCTAGAGACTCATTCTAAAAGAAAATTTTAGAGGATTCTAGAAGCCATTTTAAAAGAGTGTTTAAAAAAATCTGGAATATGTAATTAAAGATTTTTGTAAGAGAAGATAGAAGAGTATTCTAAAGAGTTAATAGTTGCTATAAGATTGAAATATGTTGGCACGATCCTAATAAGGATGTCACTAGTATAAATAGATGTAATGTGTTTGAGTTTAAATTAAGAAGAAAATAAAGCAAAATAAAATTACTTCTTTCAAATTTTATTCCTCTTCTTTCTTAGCATTCATTCTGTCCTAATAGTCTTTTTATTTCTAACACAAACACTATATGTCATCTATCCTGCAAGCGCTACCTTTTATCACTCTTTCAAAAATGATCTTCTTTGTCTCTATTTAAATTTTATACCATGTTGAATATGATACAAAATTTAAATTTTATACCATGTTGATTTCTTACACTCCAAAATTGCCTTGCCATTTGACAGGTGATCAAGATGAAATATTTTTTATATTCTTTCAATGAAATCTGAAAATCTCCTGAATGAATAGGCTTTTAAATCCATTTAAACTCAGGTTAACATCCATTTTCCAAAATATAAAACTGTAATGCTCTATTAGGCACGGGCATACTAATCATGAACACTTGTCAGTGGGAATGGAGGCGCCGATAAATCAATGATGTGATATATTAGCCGCTTTAAAAGTAGAAGAGACATGAGACTAAGAAACAGAAAGAGCAACGACAGAAGGCCGTTGATGCGGAAAACAAAGTGCCACGCACAGTAAAAGATCAACAAGATTGAAGCTGAGATGTGCGATCAACAAGTCATCAAAGTCACGGTTCTTGGTGGGAGAGAGCAACAACAACCATGCCAATCCACAAAAAACAACAAAACTATCTATAATGACAAATGGCCATGCATAAAAATTTCAAGCCTGTCAATCGGCAACAGCCCTGTCAAAGTAGCAGTTATGGAAAGCATACCTTAGATATAAAGTTCAACAGCTTATGGTTACAGACAAAATTTGTTAGAATATGGCTCAATTAAATGATGCTTTAAAAACCAGTTTAAATTTGAGCATCTGCATAATTCAAATTAGTTTGGCCCCAAAAAATAAAAGATAAACCTTAGAAAAGCAAAAAACGTAACCTACCGTTTTTGTGTGTAAGAGTAAGCATCCTCTAATATCAATGGAAAAATAAAAATATGCATTCCACTTTGAGCATCCTAGGCCGTTGCAAAACTAGCCTATTTTGAGAGTGAAAAAATATTCCCACCGAGAAAGATTTTTTTCCCCTCACTTTTGGCATATAAATTTATTGAGAGTCAGGTGCAAAAAATAAGAAAAAAAAAAGCTTAATAATATTAAAAAATAATAGAAAAGTTCATAATGATGAAAATAATTAAATTTCAGGGTTGGAAATGCCCACCCGAAAATGTACCAGATTCCACCCATCCACAGGGAGACTGCAGTATTATTTCCAATATACTTATGAGGGGATCAACATTCAATAAAAACATGCTCACAGAAATCTGAAAATCACTGATCTGAAGTCGAATGTTTGTTGACATTTATAGAGGAATGTTGTATTAAATTAATCATTTCATAAGAACATCAAATGGAAGCACCAACCCATACAAAAGTTCAAGAAACATAAACGATAAAATGTTCAAAAAAGAGCATACCTTATGACCACTGCGCGTGTTATCAATTTCAGTTTCTCTATAACATCCTGTGGAACATCTACTAAACCTAACGTTTTTAGCAGCTGTTTGTGAATTCAAGTTCTCAAGCTCTCTGTCAACTTGACCTAAAATCTGATCCAAAGATGAAGAAGTTATGAATAAGCATTTCTCTATTTTAGTTCTTTTTATCATTATTTTTTAAGTCCATAATCAATATCAGTAAAAGCTTGCACAACAAGCTGTAAAAATGGAGAAACTTCTATATTTATATGTTGAGCAAATGTGATTTTGACGAGGACTGACAATGGACATAATTGAAGAACAAAAAATAAATGTGTGATAGTTTCTAAACAAGAATTCTTGTCGAAATAACATGGAAGTGAAATTAATAAAAAAAAAAACATTATACAAGCTCCATCAGAAAGGAACATTTAAAATGAATTTTTTTAGTCAAGCCAAATTTGATGTGAATATGGAAAATAATGACAAATAAGTTTTAGGAGAGTCTAACATTATATTGAGCATTAGTGAGGAGATTTAATGGTGAAACCAGAAGGTACGTAAGGTCATTAAGAAAACAATTTATGCTTTTAATGAATGCCAAAAGTCAAATACTACCAACGCTTATAATGACTGTAAAAGCCTACAAATTTTGTAAAAAGAGCAGTGAGAAAGCAACAGTATAAATTTTATGATTGGTTTACTACCTAGAAGGTAGAAAAGGCAATATAAAAATCGATGAAGTAAGATGAATTCGATTTAAGTTAGAGATATAAAAAGGTAAGGTTTTTATTGTTTTGTTTTAATTTTTTAATTTTGGTGATTTAGAATGCCCATAAGAACGGAATGTAGTCTTTTATTACTTTGATGACAGGGTTTGGTTGGTTGGTTAAAAGTTCACTGATTTTCCATAAAGTTCACTAATTTTATCCTAGTTGTTTGTTTTCATGCTGTTGTATCTGTAGAATCCAAATTTTGACACCTGCATTGGTTTGTGATCGATTTTTATCACATTCCTGTGGTAAGTCGTCAATTATTGTGGTTCCTAAAGCATAACCTAGTCATTTGTTGTGTAATTTTTTAAGCGACTTTTTAATATTTAGGATTATATTCAAATGTTTATCATGCACCTGGACTTCAAAAGTTTTCTATTGAGGAGAACAAAGGCTCGAATCTGTCTCGATTAACATGTTAACCTAAGTGTATTTAAACAGGGCTCAATTTCCTCCGAACAACCAAACTTGAGGGGTTAAATGATAAATATCATATTTGAGGAATTTCATAGGGAACCTTTGCTTTAATAAAATTTATATTATTTGAATATTTTATTCTTGATGAGATATTGATTCATTTGAAAGCAGTGCAAGAGAAAATATTAATTATTAGGATAAATAATTAGTTTGTACTGATGTGATGCCTAGATTTTGTGTTTGGGGATCTCATTACCTTGTTCTTTCTTCATCTACATCATTTAAATTTGGCTTAAGAGCAATGACTAATTTTAGGTAAAATAATTAGAACTAACATCCTTATTGTCGAGTCAATCACAGTCAAGTTTGTTTTTTTACAGTTTCAATGTCCTCACAAAATTTATTTCATTTATTTAATCATCAGATTATTTTTTTAATGTGAATTTCTCATACTTTATGTTACATCAAAATTAAGACGAGTTCTTGTTCTAGCTTGAGGTTTGTGAAACTATGATTTTCAAAGTCATGTTGTGATTTCATCCTCTGCACCATTTATTATATTCAGAATCATACACCCTAAGGCATCATAAACAAAATTAGTAGTAGAGCCTGCAGTTTTATTAATATGTCAACTAAAAGTGGGACTCCATATTGAGGTTAATTAGTAAATCACCAAAGATATGGAATTCTAATAGAATTGTTTAATTAAAATATATCAAATGAGGGAGGACATTAATCAAGCTTCATATGGATATAAATTGAAAATTCAAATAAATTCAGTCACTTCATCAATGTATCTAATTGGAATCTCTTGCATCAACAAGCAACTAGGGTTTGGATTCTTTTCTCTTTCAATCCACTTCGTCTAAAATCACATCCAACATTATGCCAGATGGTTCTACATATCTCATTTCAAAAATTAACTTTGATGATGAAATCGGGTCCATTATAGAAGTTGATATAAAATTATCTTATGCATTGCGTGATGAACCTATATGTGATGATTGATTGATTATATTACAAGAAATACAATTATGTTTTTTAATGAATATTATATACTTCATTCAATAAAATTAAAATTTTGTTAAACCAGATGGAGTTCGCAAAGACATGAAAGTTCAAACTTATCAAAAACAAGAGTCTTAAACATTTGAATGCCAAATTAACAACTTGAAAATTTGTAGAATTTATTTTAATCGATTTACTTTAGGCTGTTAACTTCAATTTATTTGGATCATGCCTATAATGATGCATATGAGAAGTATATGAGACCTTATGATTTCTGACACTTCAGTTTAGCTATTATGTTGGTCAATTCAGCCATCGGCTCATTGGTTTAATATTACATTCAATGGTTTGGTGATGAGTTCACTATTTTTTCTTTTTCAGTATATGTAAAATCTAGAGTTAAGCTCCTATAATGGGTTATGATCTATTATTATACAAATATTATAGTTTGTTGTCATCTTTTGTATTGTTCACTATAATGAAATGTGATGTTTGCAACCCCATTCCTATGGTTCTCCTGCCCATGTAGATCCATGAGTTTTCTACAAAATAAGAGAAAAAAGAGTTTACATTGAACTCCTTAGATTTAAGCCGATGTGTTGACCTCGCTTTCGGTCGAGGTGCAGTTTTCCCTTCCTTAGTAGCCTAGGATCTAGCCATATGATATTTCTGTCGACTACTCCTAAAAAACTAGTGAAGGAGCCCTCCCCGTTCGCAATTCTGAACTTTTCTTCGCTCAACTTGACGTTCCATATAGTAGTTTTGACCGCTATTGCTTAGCAGGTAAGGCTACTCCGAAGGAACTCAGAGAGTATTCCTATAGGACTGTCGGCCTTAGGATTGACTGTACTCGTTGATTTGGCGCCGCCGTCCTCTGCACCGTCCTGTTTGATTAAACTCATACCGGAATTTTGATAGGATTCGGACCGCGACGCGTTTTGACCCGATCAATGACGAGTTTGCCCGAACGACTTCGGATGACGAAACAGACTGCGTCGATGAGTCCAGAACATCGACTTTGCCTAGGGGGGACGTTCGTTTTATTGCGCGGCACGTCTTGAGGAAAATACATATTTAAATGTTAATTATAATAATAAATAATATTTTATTTTTATTATTATTATAATTAATAACTTATATTAAAAATCCTTAACCTAATTTCATTTTCCCCTCTCGTTTCTTCCTCTCGCGCTCGTGGACCTCTGCCCTAGCCGCGGTTCGCTCGGTTTCGCTTGGCCCACTCCTTCGTGTCGTTGGAGACTCGTTCTCGTGCTCGCCTTGCGCACGCGGGACGATCCCGCGACCCATCCCTTATCGTATCTCATCCTCTGCCTCTCGCACGTCCGTATGGGGGCGTCTGCTCCTCTCGATCCTTCGGTCCGTATGTGATCCCCTAATAATTCTGTCTCTTTCTCTTTAGTTTATATGATACTCTATTTGATGTGTTTCAAGTGGCAGAAAATCTCTGAGGGGGGGGAAACTCTGTCATTTTCTTTTCTCACTTACTTCTTTCGCCTGTTGTACTTGGGTTGGTTTTCTCTTACTGTTGGAGGAAGGATTGAAGTGGAGGAGTGCTTTGAAAATTTCTGTGTGGCTTTTCTTTGCTTCAGGGAGGTACTTTCTCCCCCTTTGTGCCTTGTCTTTCTTCGGTTTCTCTCTGCCGAGCCCCTCAAGCTTAGTGCAGTGGACGATACAACATGCTTACGTGATATTACACTTATTTATTTTTTTTTTGAAATACTTGGTACTCAAGCATCTAGAAATGGAAAATGTGAGCATGTTCTAGAAGTTAGACTTGATTACTTGCTTAAAGTGGTGAAGCTATGACATGTTTTTATTTATTGTAGCATATTTTTATTGGAAGCAATTAGAAGGGTTGAAACGTGGCTTTTAGACAATGTTAGCTCCTCTTGCAAGCATGTTAGGATATGTATCATGAAGCTTTTCATTTATTCTTATATAGCATGAGACATTGGAAGGTTTATTTGGTCTTTCACGCATGTGGGGCTCGGTTTTAGCTCCTATGGTTGCCTCATTTGTTCAAAATCTATATGGAGTATGAAAAGATTTATTTTTTGAAGTCTCTTGAAGTTTATCTTGAAGGCTTGGTGTTTGATTTATCACTGCTCTTTCTCATTCAAGTATTGGTTCAGAAAAGGAATTTTTGGAGGCCTTGAAATGTTAGCTTTGAGATTTATGCATACTTCTTTACTTCATACTATCCTGTTCATATAAAATACATGCTGAGGGGGAGTTGTTTTAGTCATTGAATGGGCCGGTTTTGGCCCTCGGTGGGTTCGGTTTTGGTCTCTAGTGGCTTTTCCTTGCTCGAAACATATACTATGAAAAAAAAGGAATTTCTTTAATTTGGAGGGTCCTATAAATTGTTTTGGAGGCTTGTTTTAACCCCTCATGAGGCATCCTTTTGTTTAAATACCTATTGGAAGTTGTTTCATGCTTGGAATACTTAAGTTGGGGGCCTAAATATACTTTCTATGTTATTGTTCTTGTTTAAGTCATATATTGGCTCGATATCTTGATATTTCAAAAGCTTGTGAGCTGTTCCTTGGCGTTGAATGGCTCGGTTTTATCTTGTTTTATCTTGAAATGGC